TAAAATTTAAATCATGTAATTTAAATGCAAAGAAATTTTTAAAAATGAGAATAGGTGTCATAAGAATATTTGTTTTTGTATCACATTACGTCAATTTGAAATTTTTTTTTTTTAAAATTAAATATTTTAAGTTGGTTATCTTATATCTTATATAATATGTAACGGTGACGCTAGATTACCTGTATAAATAAACTGATTAAATGTGTAACGTTACACGGATTTCTAAAAGGAAATTTTGTCTCCCGGTTTGAGTCTTAAAATTAGTCGCACAAGTTTCCTTTTTAGATATCTGTGTAACGTCTCGTGATCTACTCCTTTGCAAAGCAACGGGTTAGCAGCTAGTATTTAAATAATTGGATTTTATTTGTATTTATAAAAAGTTTCGGTCATAAATTTTATTGCTTTGAAATTCTATAATATAAAAAAAGGCAATTTCTATAGGTACATTAGCACTACGTGAAATATATGGGGTGGCAAATAGTATAAAATTCTATGAGTGGGCGTGATAAATATTTAAGTTCGAGTTATTTCTCCACTCGTACACCCCGTAAAGTTGGAATTTCTCAATATCTAGGTATTATAAACGGCTTTAAATAAAATCATAATTTATAAGAATATGAGAAGATTTATAAAATGAAATTTATTTAACGATTTCGAATACCCATAAAAAATCGTTAATTTTAATTAAAATAATATATGAATTAATGATAATTACATACCATCTAAATCCATTTATAATATTTAACTACTCTACCAAAATCTATTGAAACATAAAATCAGCAAATAAAGTATTTTTATTTAATTATTCAACTTAAATAATAAAGTATTGATGGTTAATTATTTTAAAATATATTTACCATAGGAATACTAAAATCATAAGGTTTACTATGGAATGCTTTAATTGAAGAAAAGTATCTTAAAATATATATGTAAATTTAGACTAATAAAGTGCTTTCAAACTATTAAATACCTTCTTGCCCTGTTTTTTTTTTAAATTTATCAATTATTTATGAACTTTAATTTTTTATTTAAAATATAGAAACGAATAATAGGAACTTTAAAATTTACCTTCCGTAAGATTTCCAAATCGAAAATTATAACTAGTGCTTCTGCTTAAATGGTTATTTACTTGTAATTGTGAATTACATGATTGTTGAGTACTAATTATTTGTCTCTTATTTTCATCTAAATAATAAGTTTCACCAATCTTTCTTATTTTGTTCAAAAGATCATGAATTTTTGGCCTTTTTTCCGGTTCAGAATGCCAGCATTGTTCCATCAAGCTTTGATATTCCAAAGGAATATCTGACATTATAGTTGGTCTCATTCCATTTATTATGTTCATTGCAAGGTCATAATTATGCCTATATTGATAAAATGGTGGTTTTCCAAACGAAATTTCCCACATAAGCATTGCGATACTATAAATATCCGATGCATATTGACATTCATTCTTAACAATAACTTCAGGTGCTATATAGGGAAGATTACCATAAATAGATTCGAGTGGTTCATTTACAGGACCACAGAATCCAAAATCACTTATAAACCACAAATCTAAATGTTTGGAATATAATATGTTTCCAGAATGTAAATCCCTATGAATTTCCTTTTCACGATGAATGCTATCAAGTGCATTTATTATATCGAAAGTAATTTTAATTCTTTCTTTCCAATCAAGATTCTGATAATTTTGTTGTAAATATGTTCTTAAATCCAAATCCATTTGAGACATCACAAGAAAATATTGTTTAGTTACCGAGTCTTGGGTTAAACCAAGGCATTGAACAATTTCTATCCATTTGTTACTTATAGGTAAATGTGATTTCGCCTGTATGAAAGATTTCATTTATTAAAACAAAGGTTTAATGAATATTTTAAAATATTTTTTAGTTTAAATACCTCATCGAACCAACTTCTATTAGCGCTTTTTACATTTTTCAACGTTTTAAGGATTACTTTTTGTGTACCTAACCTCTTTAATCGTTTTTCTTTATTATCCCATTCAATGTATGGACCTTCTGACCATATGGCTGAATAAATTTCAGAACATCCGCCTTTGGTTATATATTGAAAATTACTTAATTTATCGAATGAGATCCATTCAGCTATCCTATCTGGAGCAAGGGTTTTAGTTTGACATTGCTTTATTAAATCATCAATATGTTCGTTTCCAGAATTCGAAAAGTTTATTTGAAGATAACTTCGAATACAATGTTCACAATATAAAGTTGCTAAACATTCGCGTTCACAATTTTCGCAAGGTCTTTTTCTTCCGTCATTGTAAAGAACTTTATTATAGTCATAGTCTTTCTTTAATAATTGTATTACTTCTAACTTTTCATCTGTTGTAATATATGGATCAGAATGAGTGGTTTTAATTCTAAAATTATGTCGCTTGGTAATATTATCATATAATTTGTAATCGGTTAATGCACATACTTTGTTAAATGAATAATATATATCACTTTTATACATGATAAATCGCTACCATATTTAAACTATTGAAATGGAAGAAAAAGAAGAAAAGAATTTCTGTTATATTTATATTCAATTTCACGGGCTTTAAACTCCGTCAATAAATTTCTAATCGGTTGAAATAGGAAAGCATGAGGAACGTGGAACCGTCGTATGATATTTATTTTATTCAACATCAAGAACAGAGGCAAGCAAAGATTATAAGTTTGATAATCTAATCTTATTGAAAGAAAGATAGCAACATTCATTAGTTTCTTATTCAAGGTATGTTCTTATCATTAAATCCACGGTCTCAAATTTATAAGGATTTATAAAGAACCTTATCATATCTAAATCTAATCTTTAGCACATGTCTGACATTATAAATAAAATGCAATTGGCTGATCCATTTCATTTTAAAAAAAAATTTAAATAAAACACCCAAATTATTATTATCATTCAAATCAAATTTGAATTTTTGAACCAATGATACAGTTGTGTTGTAGTTATCTATCATATCATTGATATGTACTTGTATGTATCGAATTCTTTCTTTTTTTTTTTAAATTAACAATCTCATCAGTTTAAGGATCTACACTGTATTTACAACCTAAATTTGTCTATTTACTCTTTCAATTAAAAAAAAAAAAAAAACTTTTTTTATTTGTTTATGTCATATGGTAATGTTTATTTTTCATGGAAATTTCTCAATCGAATATTTTGCAAATTGCAGTTTTTCCTTCATTCACGATTTAATTATTTTGTATTCCTTGGAACCAATAGAATTATTATAAACTTTACAATACCAAATTTTATAAGGAATTAGCGACACCACTCAAAAATTCGCCAAAAACCGTTAATACAACTTTACCAATTTTTTTTTTAAATAATTCCATTGCACATTTGTGGGCTTAATTTACACAATCAAGTAAATTTTACTTGAAGAAATATTGGGAACTTGATTTATGACAATACTAAAGTTTTGCTACTTAAAAATTTGCTATTAAATAATTTTATAATTTTATAAATATTTAGAAAAAAAATTAGTTCCCATAAACACGTGATTTGAATTAGGTTGATTGTAAATTAATGCCACGTATTTTGTAAAACTCACACTTGTGTGCAATGTTACAATAATTTTTATTTATTACTTTAACTTATACACACATATTGATAAAGTAGTCTAATTTTACAATGTATAGATTAGTTTTAGTTTATAGATATTTTGTATTTTCTATTTGTAAATTTTATAAATAAAAATAAAGTCTGTAAAACTGTCGAACATAAAAAAAAAAAAAACTTATATACATATTAGGAAATTATTATGAATATGTTAATGAAAATATGTTCTATTTCTTCAATTAAGAAAGCTTTCTTCAAAACTGTCTCTAATGTAAGCCAATTTTTTATTTATTTTTTAAAAAATAATTTTTAGAATATCCTAGGTCTGACTGTCAAATAAATACGAAACATTTTCATTATACTTTTTTTTTTACCTTAACGTTACCGTTGCTGTCAGAAATTTAAAAGAATTATTATTTTGTTTTTGTTTCTTCTCAGGTCAGGTCATAGTATTGTAAAGCGCAATCAATTGCAAACGTGATCATTGCTTTTGAAAGACACGTTATTAAACAAGGCAAATAATGAAAATATAGTTTTTCGAAAGGCCAAATCGAGTGTAAATAACTAAAATTTCTAACTTTATTTGAAAATTGATGTCAAAATTAACACAAATTATGACAAAAGTAAATTGTATTGTTATAAAATAGATCGAAATAAAGGTTTAAAGCTTATTGTTTAAATAGAATTTTGTTCATTAAATTTCGCATACAGCATTTCTTCAAAATGACACCCATGATGACGACGAAATATCGACAAAAGTAACGCGAAGAAACGAACTAATGTAAGTGATTACATTATAATTAACCAACATGTCCAACAATACCGATTGCAAGGGTAATTAAGTTACTAACGATCGTTGCGATCATCGATAACTTGCTAAATGATAATCTGTAAACTGTACTTTGAAAAAGCTAATATCCATGAAAATTATTGGACAAATTCTCCATACTTGAAATTCGCCGAGAAGATCATTAAACTCGGGACGTGCCTATTGTCTAATGGAGAAAATAATAAAAAATTTTAATTCATCAAATAAGGATTCACTCGGTTGATTATTCAAATCTTAAGGATAGGTTGATATAATGCTTTGTAACAAAGAAATTATTAATACCATTGGACATTTTTTCGTCGCATACTTGATTTTTTTTTGAATCTTGTTTTATTAAAAAAGTTCGATTAAAATATAGTCACGTGATTTGTTTTATTTTCGACCACGGGCTTAGCGCTTTCTTTTCATTTATTTTATATTTATTTATGATATATATATTTGAACTACACTACAAATAATAGTACTTTAAAATTTTCTGTCGATAAATATGAGTTGCCTTTTTATTTATTTAAAAAAAAAAAATAATTCATTCAAAAAGTAATTTTATAACTAATAAATATCACATCAAATCATTAATATTCTCGGCTATCAATCATTTCGTTCTAGTGACTCTGTATACCTCCCACATGTCAATATCATATGCGCCTTTAGGCATTATGGCTATTTGTTCATAAAATCCATCCTCTCCGATGACGCATTTTACATAAGGAAAGATTTCCTCAACTTCCCATCCATAATCTGGTTCATCATTTTCCTTACATCCATGATGATAAAAAGTGCCCAAGTCTTTACCAAATTTCAAAAGTACGCCATTGGGACGTACCTTCGTCTGAATCATGGCTTTATCAAATTCTTTGACTCGGCTTAATCGATGATCTGTTCCATATCCGTCTTTACTCGAGAAGATAAAGCTTTCTGATGTGCTAACATATTTATCCTTACCATTCGGTAAATCTAGTTGCCAATTGATAGGATTATAGGCTCCAATGATCTCTTTAGAATCTTTAATCCTCATTAACATTAGTGAAGGACCGTGGTGACATTTCATGGTCGGTAGTGGATAGAATGATGATTGATTATAGTATTTATTAGGAAGTGATTGATCATCCATGTCAAACAAAAGTTTAAATTGGAATGGCATGTTCAAATAAGTATATGGGACTTCTCTTCTATCGATCCATGACGCAATCAATAATACAAAATCTTCTTCAATACTTTCTATAAATTCTTCAGGTGAATCGATTCGAGGTGGAATTCGATTAAGTTTCGATCGATTATATTTTTCTCGATCAAATTTTACTCGATTATAATTTCTTGATGTAGTTTGAATAGCACTTCGAGATGGATCAGCTCTTTCGGTGACTCTGAAAATTTCCCATTCATCAATTTTGTAATCCCCTTCAGGCATTATGGCTGGTTGCGCATAAAATTCATCTTGCTTAATTCTACAAGACATATAATCCTTTACATAATCTTCATTATATACAAATTCTAAAGTTTTGCCAAAATCTAACAATGTGCTAATAGGGTGAAAACAAGATTCGAGAGAATATATTTTATTTAAACGAATTGCCTTATGAGGCTTATTAGCGCGGCTTAACACATGATATGCACCATGCACATCTTCACTAGAGAAAACAAAGCTTTCTGGTGCGTATTTATAATCTGTAAATCGTAATTCTAACTTTCTTTCAAGCTGATGGGATTATAACCTCCAATTATCTTTCCGGTTCGAAGTTTCATGATCATCAGAGAGGGTCCGTGATGGCATT